TCGAATACTTCTTCGACGGAGGGGATATGTGAATACTCGTACGATAAATCGCACGACTCGACTATTTCAGACATTTCATTCAAAGTAGATGGCACAGTTTTCGATCGACTCAACATTGATTTCACAGGTGTGCAAGCCCGTATAGAATTGTCGTGAGAAGCGCTCGGTCGTTTTCGCTTCAGTTTTGGTTCCTCGTCCTCTTCCGAAAAGAACGTTTCGTTCTTGATAGGATCCTTGGAGGATTCAACAGTGTTTTCGACAATCTGTTTCAGCGGTTCGATAATAGGTTTAAAGGGTCTCTCCAATGCGATGTCTTCCTCTATTTTACCGGTTTTCAGGGCACGGTACTTTTTACGAATCGAATCGCTCGTTTTCGCAATCTCTTTAGCTATCCTCTTACGATCTATGGTGCTGTCTTGCCTAATCAGCGTATCGATAACAACTGATTATGTCACGGTACCGCAAAGTCATTAAAACATTTTCTATATCGTCCATTGTTAAGCGCACTATCCTTATCAATCACAAGAAATCCATACTTTTGCTATCAACATTTACGACACAAATCGCAGAAATCTTCATAGGACATGTCAGTATTTACGTGATCGTTGTACACTCGTTTCAAATTAGTACCATCCTGTTTGAACAGGATCAACAGATTCGCATTGTCACATATAAGATGCTTCGATATCTTTGCATACGTCTGACAGAGATAGAAGCAGTCAACGTGCGCGTGTCGATCCATTGAAAAATACTCTCTCATCGCGTTTTGCTTGTCGCATGCCACGTCATCAAAGATAAAGACGGAATTTGGAAGCGCCTCGTTCGGTGGAATGACATCGCTATTATTAGAGAATGTAAAATAGCCAATTTCTTCGATCGGTGTTAGCAAATTCGTCAGATATTGATATTTCGGCTATTGCAGCGATTTCGAGTACACGTACAAGTTCTCGAATCGTACGCCATGTGGACTTTCCAACAGGCTTATCAGCACGTTCGTCTTGCCACAGTGTGACGGTCTGCAAACGATAGCGCGTATAGAAGTTGACAGCATGCTACCATGCTTGCGTATCTCTTTATCGGTTCGCACTTTTCCATCGAGATTCGTCACTTTGATCATCCACGACTGACGCACGAACCGCATATTTTCTCCTTCCACAAAATACTGAAAACGATATCGCGAGCGGGCCTATTTATAGGGATGCGTGAAGTGAAATCAGTAATCAAAATGTTTCTCATCATATCGGACAATCTATACAGTTTAACATCAAAACAATTGAAATATATACCGAAAATTATACTGCTGCGAGAGTTTGAAAATTTTATAGATGTGTTGTGGGATAGACTGCCTGAGCATATACGAGCCGATTCGGAAGTACAACGATACCGTGGGTGCTTGAAGTACTACAATTTGCCGAGTCATCAAACGCATATCGACGGACCGGCGCCTCTGATAAAGGCTGCGTTCCGCAAAGCGCATCATGCGCATAATTCCTGCGCGCAGGACATGAGCGTTCCGCAAAGCGCATCATTGCTCCATGATTTTACCATGGCTATATTACCACCTAACCTAAGATTTGTTAAGTACTGAGGATCAAAAATTAACTATTTTTTTTATCAATAATAAGATTGAAAGACCACTAATGCTAAACATAATGCTTTAAATTAAGAAGCGCCATAACGGTCAGAACGTTAAGATGTTGAACTATTGTAAATTCATTTAAATGAATTAATTTCAGAAATGATAATTGCGTGCCGATATGGTTGTCGAACTTTCAACGCAATCAAATCTGAAAATATTAATAATCCTCCCAAATTTCCCAACTTAAAAACTGTAATAAACTTATTGCGAAAAATAATGCCTCGGCCGGGAGTCGAACCCGGATCTCTTGCATTCCGTGCGAGCGTCCGAAGCATTTAGACTACCGAGACCTTAGCATTATTATTCGCAATAATTGATATGTATAGAGAGTTACGCATTTCTCGGCGCGCGTGTATAAACAATAATAAGATTGAAAGACCGCTAATGTTAAACATAATGCTTTAAATTAAGAAGCGCCATAACGGTCAGAACGTTAAGATGTTGAACTATTGTAAATTCATTTAAATGAATTAATTTCAGAAATGATAATTGCGTGCCGATATGGTTGTCGGACTTTCAACGCAATCAAATCTGAAAATATTAATAA